GAAATTAGCAGATTAGCAGAGAAACAAATTAGCAGAGAAAATAAAAAGCATGCAGTAAATAAAGGGAACAAAAAGATTACTAACTAATTGAAAGAATTTGTGGATAAAATTAAAAAATGCATGCACCGAATAAATAAAATTAATGAAAAAACATGCAACAAGTGGAATTATTTAGAAAAGCATGCAGTAGATAAAGTTAGTATGAAAAGCATGCAGTAGATAAAGTTAATATAAAAAGCATGCGCGCCTAATGCACGTGATTAATTGCAAGTAATGCAAAATGCTATTCACGAATGGAATTAACTGATTTAAAATATTATCTATGAAATACAGATTAATAGAACAAAAAGAGCATGCAATTATTTGAATCAACAAAAGAGCATATAATGTTGAAGCAAAAAAAAAACAAATTTTTAGATAAATTTGTAAATTGATCAAAAATCAAAAATGAAAAAATCATCAAATGACATTGGGATTGGGACATTTATGCATTCACACTCAATCTGCATATTTTTGCCGTCTTTGAACGATGAAAAACAAATATTTGGCAATAATATCTGATTAAATGTGAACATTTTAGGAGTCTTAATTAATTGCTGCAAAACATTACCATATCATTTTGTTGAATTGGAAAATTTTCTGCAATGATATTTTCCACTAACAGTCCTTTCCATTCTTTTCTTTACAAAATGCGCCTTCTTGCAAAGTGATGTCGGAAGATGATGAAAAGGTAAATGATGAGAAAAAAAATTATGACCAAAAATGGGATACGCTACCTGTGCTACTTGCAATAAATGGTTGTCACATTATGGATTCACTTCAGTTAGCATTATAAAATAAAGATAAAAAGACAAATGCTATTAAAATACAAAAATTTCAAAAAAGAAATTCAATAACTCAAAAGGTTGACTAAATTTTAAATCTGTCAAGAATTGATTCAAAATAGAGCAAAAAAAATTTGATGTCTCAAATAATTCAGCAAAGATTTAAAAACAATCATAATTCAAATAATATTTTATAAGTTCAATACACCCATGAAATTTCAAAAAAATTGAAAATTGATTGAAAAATACTAGAAATTTAGCATTAATTTGAAAATTTATGGTTAGTTTTGCAAAAAATTGGAATTGAAAAAGCAAACGTTCAAAAATTTTGACCATATGTTAAAAAAATTGGAAAAGAAATTAGGAATTTAAAATTTTAAAAATTGAGCAATTTAAAAACTTGATAAGCAACCTGAAAAGCTAAGAAAATTTCCCGAATATTCCTCGAACTTCAATTTTAAAATTTAAGGAATACAGATTTATCTCAAAAAATTTTTGAGATAAACATCGATGTTCATTAAAATTTAAAAAAATATATGAAAACTATAACATTTCAAAAAAAAGAAATCCAAATCTTAACAATATATATCAACGGGAATTTGATATAAAATGAAAATGCGCATTTGGTCCATTCGTTTACAGATGAGTAACGACAAGAAAAAGGACGTTTGTGCTGACAATTCTATAATGAGTGAAAAAAAAAAAGGTGGAATTGTCCAAAGACTAAGTGTCCTAAGAAATTTGTCCTAAGACGAAAAACTCTTAGATTAGTTGAGAATGGAATGGGCCAGGAAAAAGAAATGGCTTCTTTATCTCAATAAGGCTCTAATAGGAATTTTCGTTATCAATTATTCATTATTCCTTGTGCATTGTTAATTTTTTCTCTGTAGAGATATGACATTATCATTGTAAATTATCATTGAATATGATTATTCAAACAAATATTATCATCATCAATGTAATAATTGTCATAATTGTCACCAATTAATGACAACCCAAGAAAAATTACAATTAATCACTTCAAATCACTATTATCATACGTGATAAGCACAGATAAAGCCTTGATTTGGTACATGTTTTTTGCCGAACTTGAAATTTGTTAATGAATTATTAACATCACGCCACATGCCACCTGTAATTTCTATTTGACTTAAAATTTGTTTTGGATTATAAAGCGATGAATTTGTCAATCTCTTTCATTAATTGAATTGGATTTTATTCATCGATTTGAATTATTATTCGAATTGGATTTATTTTTGATTTTAAAACTAATTTTTCTGATAAAATTTTTAAAACTAATAGAAAAACTGACAAGATTTCATTTAATGAAATCAAATCCAATTCGATTAATAAATCCAATTTGATTAACTATCCAATTCGATTAATAAATTCAGTTTCATTTAATTTCATTGAATGGAATTTTTTCATTGGTAAAACTTTTCGAACTTTTTTTTTGATACTGTAAAAGCTTTGTTGAAGTCATAAGAATAGCTTTGCTATATGATTGTATTTCGATCAATTAGTATGATTTTATAATTAATAAAATTAGCAGTAATATTTTGTTTAAAACTTCAGATTTTCCAATAATTATAACCTATATTTGAAGAATTAATTAATTTGTTTTAATAATGTCACATTATAAACTAACAATTAGAAATGACAACATTTGTGGTAATGTCATCAACATTATCCCAACCCTCTGCAAAAATTCTTGTCCCATCGGACCAAACATGTTGATGACGTGGTGAATTTAAATAATCCAATAATAACTGTCCTTGTTCTTCCAAATGTGAATAAGCTTTTTCATGATATGGCTGCCATCGCCAATCGAAATCTTTCCTGAATGAACAAAATTGATGATAATATTTTTCTTGATTCAGGATCGAACTCAATCATTATATTTTTCACTTACATATATGCTTATTAAAATGTTTATTCCAAACTTTAGCAACCGGATGATGCAAGTTTTACTCTCAGGAAATATCAAATAGTATTTTTGTCATGATCCGGAATAGACAAACAATAAGACAAAATTGGTGTCCTAAGATTAGACTGCTCCGTTCGTAACAATTTTATCGTTAATCAACTGGTTAACATTATCAGTCGCAGGAAACGTTTATGTCACGCCTAATTTGATAGTCGGAAAATTAGTATAATCGAAAAATGAACTGCACTGAATATTAGAACTAAATATTGACAATAATTTTAAAATTCAAAGTTACTGATTAAAGACTGAAACATAAGAACCGGATCAAGTATACAATTGAAATACTAATCCAGACAATCCTGATTTTCTTGTTAATGTTCAAAATCATTATACAAAAGATATGCAAACCTATATAGGCCAATGTAATAATAATAAGTATTTTCATCAATCGAAACGCATGACAGATTTGGTATACCATTTAATACCTTTACTGAAAAATGACCAATGTGTATTGCTAATTAGTTAATTATTAATTAATCATTCACTTTATAAAGTATTTTCAATTATTCTACCATATTTGCTAATGAATATATTTTCATCTCTACTCCTGCTCTTTGCTTCTGATATTTTACTTACGATAAAAATAACAGAGTTTATAAATAAAAAGAAATTTTTTTTTTTGGGTTACGTAATTTTTATGCAAGTAATGAAGTAAAGTAGTTGCAAATTTTATTTTGAAATTAAAAAATAAAAAAATTTAAAAATTTGAAAATTCAAAATTAAAAAATTTAATGAAATTGAAAAAATGCAAACCATAAAGAAACATATTGATGCTTTGATTTGGAATGCGAACAAGTCGTGCTGTTTTCCTTTGTTTTTCACATGGATCACCATCTGTTTTGTTAAATACATCAATTATTTCATTCTCTGATTTGATCATAAACTATAACAGGTGACACATTTAAATGTGTTATTCAAATTAAAATCATTAAAACAATCACCCTCACCTATTTACTTACTTACATTTTAATTATTTACATTTTTACTTACATTATTTATTTACACTTTAATTACTTACATTTTTATTTAAATCATAGATTACTCATTTTACTTACACCTTACATTACTTACTTATTTTACCCACACCTTACATTACTTACTTATATTCTCATTTACTTATAGCATTAGTGTTATTCCTATGACAAATTCATTCAGTTACAATGCTATCATTGCAGTAATTGCAAAAGTAATAAGTTGACAAAAATAAATGGTAGATAAGATATTTCACCTTCAATTACTAAATTTCTTACATTAATCCGTTTTTTAATAAACGAAATGAAGCATTCAGTCTATCCGATATAATTGTTACGGATCAGTTTTAATGAAAATCTTTCAGGAATTTTTCTTTTCTCTCGAATTTTTCCTTTCAAAACTTCCGGTTAACAAAACAACAGCTCATCAATGTTTGTTTCTCTTTTTATGAATTAATTTTAGGAAGATTTCTTCCTTCCTCCCTTTTCCATATCCTCCTATTTTATAACTACTAACATTTCTTATTGTTGTTAAAAAGAACGAATACTTCAATTTATAATTTTCAATTTATTATTTTACAATTAAAATTTAATTTTAGGCTTATTGTTTTGACTATAAAAGTTAAAAGATAGAATTTATATTAAAATAATATGCTTTCATAACAAAAAGAAAAAGAGAAAAAATTAAAGTTTTTCAAAGAATATACCGCTTTATAGCAAAATTGATTTATTCCCTCGAAAAATTTAATCCATCCACTGTCACACTTCACCGTTTCTAAAATGTCAACAAAATTTTCCCAATAAACAGTTTACTAATTCTTGCGACTTTGCAAAAATTTAGCCCAATAATACTTTTAAAATATATTTGATTCTAAATTTCTCAAAATATAATTTCATAATTTGAATATTAAAAAAAAAATTTTTAATGTACTTTAAAACTTATCAAAAAATCTAAAATATAGTTCCTTAAGAAAAGCATAAATTTAAATTATACTTTTAATTTTCAAGAACTTAGAATATACTTTCAGACATTTTTTTTTGAAAAAAAAGTTATAGATTTAAACTGTTTAATATCTATTTAGCTTTAATATCCGACAAGGTTTTGTTGAGTTTTTTTAATGAATAATTTTAAAATTTTTCAAAAATCTTAATTAATACAATAAATACTCTTAAAATATTGTCATTTATTAAAAAAAATTCTAATTATGAATTGAAATGAAAAACATATAAATTAAAAATGCGCAATTCCGGAATGTTTACTGGATAATTTTTTTACTGGATAATTTTACTGGATAATACTGGTTTACTGGATAATTTTAATTAATACCACTTATCAATTGATATGATAAGATAAGGTAAAAGAGTAAACCAGAATAGTTGCAAAAGAAAATACGTTTTGCTTGAGAACTACTCAATCGACAAAATTGACCATCGGTACCATTTGCCATGGTACCGAAATAAACTGCGCTACAAAATTCTTCATAGATCGTTCTATGCGGGAATATTTCCTCAAATGATTTCATAATTTTCAAACAGTCAAGAAACGAATTAACCGGGAAAAAAGACCACTCGTAAAAACGGAAGGGAAAAGGAAATGAATTCGGATCTAAAATTAGCAGCATTCCTGAAAATATCGTAGCAAACATACAATGGGATTATTCCGGAATATGCTATGATGAGCTATTTTAGACCGATCTGTTTATATTTGATGAATTATTTTAGATCAGATCGGTTTGTTTATTTGAAGTGTCTGGTACATTCCAGAATTTCCAATTATTTAATTTCTTGATTTTCACAAATTTTGAGTGATTTTTGAATTTTTTAATTTTTGAATAATTTTGGAATAATTTTTGAATTTTCACAATTATTTTTCTTTTTTTTTTCTCTCTCTCTTTTTCTTTCTCCTCTAAAGGAATAAATAGTTTGTAAAATTATTTACAAGCATTCTGAAAATACCGGGGGTAGCTTACAACAATCGACACCTTGCTTATCTTTCGTTGGTATTGATGGTGGGATACAAACAACATTCTCTTAAATTGAGCAATATTAAAAGATGCTGAATTTAGTCTCTGACTCTTGCCATTTGAGGATTTATTTAATACTTGTTGATTTATTTTCTAAAATTAGTTTCCTTTAATTCCGGTTTTCCAGTTCACATCAAATTACTACTTTCGAAATGCATCAATAAAAATTTTTCTCATTCAGCCTTTCTCCGAATATTTGTACAAAGAAAAACCTGCGAAATAAAATTTTTCCACCAATAAAAGTATGGAAAATATGAATGATTCCATTTTGCGCCTCAAAAAATGTTGAATGACCGCACTAATTAATCGTATGATATTTTATGAAATTTCAAAAATTCACATTTATATATGCTAAATTTCCATATGCAGAAATGACATAATAAAATTCGGAAATGATAACTGATACGTTCAATTTTCCGTAATTAAGCCCTTTATGAGCGGTTTTGTCAAAGATTCAATTTAAAAAAATTTTGTCGACTTTAAACATTGCAAACAATAGCATGCAGCTTGCAAATATGCAATTTGCATTTATTGATAAATTGAAGTGTAGATAATTTGAAGCTTGAGCCAGCAAAACACGGAATTTGATGAGATATGATGGAACAGATTTCTTGAAAACCGGAATTCAGAATTTTTTTTTGTTTGGAATTTTGTTTTGTAAAAAGCTGCAAATAATAGTAAAAACGCGATGTATTCATTTGTGAGAGAGAAGAAAAATTCATATAAAACTTAATTAATCTTTGTAATTTTTAATTAAATAATTAAGATAGTAGGAGCCAAATTTCCTTTTTTTTATTTACTTCAACCATGAAATTTGTCATTCATTAACAAAGATTTTAAATTAAATAATGATTGAAGGAAATGTGAATTATTGTTGTGATAATCATTGTTATCTTCTTCTAGCTGATAATGCTGTTGCCATTTTTGATGTGGAAATTGCTGAAATTTTCCATTGATAAGATAATATGATGTTGAATTGAATTGAATTGAATCAAGTCTAAAAGGATTACGATAATACGCTTACCATTAATTACATTTATCACTAACAGTGGAACACTAGAACTATAAATATACATTATCGATCAATTAATAAACATTTTGAAAAAAAAAATTCCCAATTAAGCAACCTTTTTCATTTGGTATAATTTTTGATAATAGTGATGATCGTTTACTGTAGTATTGATTAGATGGTGATAATTGCCGTTTACCGTACATACCACCGTGAAATGGTACAAATACTCTCTTACCATACATTCCACCCATTAAAGGCATTAAAGCTATAATTTCATTCATGCAAATTGCTTATATTTTCAACCTATCTCAATAAATTAATTTAGTAATATGTTAAAATCTAGTCCTGAGACTTCTCATATCTATGTCACCTCAATTTAGCTACTCCTAGAATTATCGGAACTTTTTTTTTCCTTTTTTTTACAGTTTTTCATGCTATGCAAACTGTTACAAATAACATATTCATTTTCAAATTTATAACAAAAATATTTTAGCACATACCGTAATTCACTCGTTTACCATTTAAATTTTTGGAGAGCGGAAGTGGATGGTCATTCTTTTCCACTTGTCCAAATGCATTTTGAATTTTCCCATCGAAAGCTCATAAAAAAAAAAAAACTTTAATCAACATTGTAAATGTTTATTGTTTTAGTTCACATATATAACAGTTTTGGTTTAAAAAAGAAGAAAAAGAAAATGATCTAAAATATGATAAAGATAAAATTCTTGTGATAAAATGATTCTTATTTAAGGTATTGTTAGGTGTAAAGTTTTGTGCTATTTATTGATCTGAAATTTTACTTTCAAAATTGTCCATTTCAATTGATAAAAAAATTTATTTACCTCCGTTTGCAAAAATGATTTTGCTGAATAGAATGGCATAAATTAAAAATTCAGGTAAAACCGCAATCATAATAAACCGAAAAATCAAAAAACAAAAAAAAAAAGCTATGTGAGAAAATTGTTTCACCTGAAAATTGTAATTGATTAGCGAAAAAATTTGCATATTAAACAATGAATACGTCGAAAATCCGTGTACTTAACATAAATTACTTTAAATTATGAAATGGATAAAATTAGCCAAGTCTGTATGATTGCTCTAATAAATGCAGTTTATTCTGGCCATAACTCCATGAACTATCACTTATTAAAATGATAAGGCCCAGTCCTTGTGAATAAAATATGAAAGTGGACTAATCAATTGTAATTAAAATGAATTATTATATCATGAAATATTTTAGTCTGAAGTGATAAAAATCAATGAATCAATCAGTAATATCTAAAATGAAAGATGAAATATTTCAACAAACTTTTTTTTATTGATCTTTTAGAGGGAAAATGAAAGATGGAAAAGAAAAAGTGTAATCATGAAAATATTATTAATCAAAAATGAATTGTTATAAGACTGAAAGAAATGGAGAAAAATGAGGAAAGATGGAAAATTCTCCTCAAATTT